GGGTAGTTTTGCAAGTTGCTTTTAATTTGTCCGACTCTTTAAAAATCATATTCCTCACATATTTTTATTACTGGATCTACAGGAGATCAGAGAGATATAAACATCCATTATCAACAATATGCAATTGTCAATTACATTGGTGCAGCTATGGAACGAGTGGGAAATCAGGTTGCTTGTGCTTCTCAGTTTTACACTGCAACTATTCCTCTTCTTCACAGGGGGGCGTAGGAGACGAAGCAGTAACAAATTGCTAAGATTCTCTATTTGGTTGGCTTATTTGGGGGCAGACATGATTGCATTTTATACTCTTGGTCAGATCTCTCGACTTGGAGATTCTATCAATAGTAGGGATCCGTTTACAGGGACCATGTCTTTGGCATTCTTTTGGGCACCTTTCCTTCTTGTTCATCTTGGCGGACAAGACACTATTACTGCCTTTTCATCTGAGGATAACAATTTGTGGCTAAGGCATTTTCTGAATCTTTTAGTTGAAGTCAGCCTTGCATTATATGTCTTTTGGAAATCAATGGGGAACAACAACCAGCTTTTAGTTCCAGCCATGTTTGTCTTTGTTTCTGGAATAATTAAGTACTGGGAGAGGATATGGGCTCTCAAGTATGGGAGTAAGACTGACCTTAATAGCACCACTAGTAACTATGAAAATAATCAATTGCCACTACTAAGTGTTGAGCAAGATAGATACTGTGACATTGTTTGCTATGCTCTCCGCACGGCACGCTATATTCGGGGATTCCTTGCAGGGCGGGCGACCTTTCAGATGGGGCATGAAATTCGGTTTACATTAGTAGAATATTTTGGAAGATTTGCAGAGCATGGGGCAAAACTTAAGATCATTGAGATGGAGCTCGCTATTATATATGATGATCTCTACACCAAGGCTGTTCTGTTTAGGACATGGACAGGTAGCATATTTCGCTGTGTTGTGCATGTCTCTACAGTGGTTGCTTTTGTGCTCTTCTACGCAAACAGGAAAGAAAGCTATAGCAGAGTGGATATTGCAGTAACATATGCATTACTCATTGGTAGCACTTTTATGGAACTTGTTTCAATTATTATGGCAATGGTATCACCATGGGCATGGGCATTCTTGAAAGCACGGAATTTTCACTGGCTTACCAACTTGTTCTGGTCTATCTTCAACATTGTTCAGCCGGAGAAGAGGCTGTGGTGGTCAGATTCCATGGGGCAATATAACCTTCTGCGCTCCATATTCTGTATTGAATCACCAATCATTGGCATGATCAGAAATATCATAAATTCTGTTGGTTTGGCTAAGGTCTGGAAGCACTTACGGCACACCAAGGATGTCAAAGCTAAGAAGAAGATCATGGAATGTGTGGTGCAGTGGTTGGACAAGCAGGATCGTTTCAAAGACTTGGCAACAGGGATGAGGCCTAAACTTGGCACAGAGTTGGAGTTGATACTGCGAGGACCTTTTGAGCATGCCATACTCCAACTACATTTATTTACAGATTATCATATAAGGGGTCTACTTGCCGAGGAGGGATCACCTCTACACAACAAAGGAGATAGATCAGATCTTGCGAGCATATGTGAGGAAATATCAAATTACATGATCTATCTTCTTGTTGTAAACCCTTCCATGTTGCCAGTCAGTACCACTGCAGAAGATACACTTGCATTGTTCCCAGAGAAAATATTCTCTACCGGCAGGGGTGGTGTCAGAGATATGTCAATCCTTGTGCTGGATAGACTTAAGCTATTTGTCCTAAAGATATGTAATTACTTTGTGAAGGAGTCTTCAACAGATAGGACAGTAGCCCCTGCAGACCTAGGCCTGGATCTTCCCCTGTCTACCAGCCAGAAACATATTCGAGAAGTGCTACATAAGGATTGGACGGCTGCTGGAGAAATTGAAGGCAAAATTCTGTTGGGTGCCCGAGCTTTATTGGACTTTCCAGATTCTGAATTGACCATTGATGAATTATTGGCGGAGATCAAAGAAATATGGATAAGGCTGCTTGTTTATGCAGCAGGCAAGTCACACGCAGAGGCACATGCACAACAGATGAGCAGAGGAGGAGGGGAGCTGCTCACATTTGTTTGGTTACTCATGGCTGCCCACTATGAGCTCGGTGATGTTGCTCGCAGGCTCGATCTTGTTTCATCGTCATCTGGTGCTGGAGAGGGAGATCGGCTTTTCGCCTTCAATTTTCCATCTTATGAACGACCTACACCCATGTAGGCCTTGCATTGCAGGCTCACAGATATTTGCATGGTTCAGCAACCTGCATGCAAGTCAAGCTAGGCTTAATATGAGGTCATGTTTACTCTCCTGACCCCCATCCGTGTCGAAACAGTTGTGGTTATCCCAGAGAGGCCATATGTTGTAGTAGGTCATTCATATTGTCCGGATAGATAATTTAAGATGTTGTATATATTTGTTTCTACTGCTGCAATAACATTTTAACAAAATGTTGCATTTGGACTGCAATGACCCTATACCATAAATGTCGTTCCTATACATTTTGGAAGTTGCGACTGTAATTGTATAAACTTGTGTGTGTTCAATCATGTATGCGATGTGAATGTGTTGGGATCATCGTCATGCACTCGTGCTCTTCTGTTAACTTCTGTTTTATGTATTGAAGATGGTTTTCCCCTCTTAATGGAATCCAGACAAGAATTTGTTGCAGTTTTGTCAGACCCAGGTGGTCTGAAGAACAGGATTCAGAAATATGTAGACTGAACTAGAGGATTTGCTTGAATTCAGAGGAAAGATTAAGCGAGTCTAGCTCGTTACAGAGGTTCTAGCCGGCCAGGAACACTGGCGGCTGTAAGGGGGAAACCCTAGAAATGACCAGATGCCTTCACTCGATCCCATCTCCTGGCTTTATAGCCTTACAAAGTGGAGTAAAAAGAAGAGAAAAAGAGAAACAGAAAACAGAGTCGCTGTAGTGTTTTGCCGGAAAGGGTACAGCGACAGTCGGGGCCATCACAGCCACACGATGACGATCGGACGCGCGCCGGGTCTTCATAACGGTTGAAGCGGTACGACGTTTCTCTGGCCGTGCGATAGACGATGGGTGGCTCCTGGCGCCTCCCGCCAGACAGACACGGTTTGAATTAACTGAATCCCGATTGCAGAGTGCTGAATCTTCAGACAACTAGACTTGGGTCCTGACAACTCCCCCCGATTCAGATCAGACCTGTCCTTAGGGCTGGAAGTTGGGAAACACTTTCTGTATGAATGTGGCGTCCTCCCATGTGGCCTCGTCCATAGGTAAGTTACTCCACTTGATGACCCATCTGACAACTGGAACACTGATGTCACTTTGTACGCGTGGAATAAGCTTTCTTTCTAGTAACTGCTCTGGCTCCAGCAAGATTGTACCATCAGGGTTCAACAAGGGCAACTTGGGATTAGGGATTGCCATGGGGCCTATATGCTTCTTGAGCTGGCTCACATGGAAAGTGTCATGTAACTTGCAGTCATCAGGAAGGAGGAGTTTGTAGGCCACAGTACCCACCTTTTGGATAACTCTGAATGGGCCATAAAACTTGGAATGCAGCTTGAGGCATTTGTGGATGCTGAGAGTGGTATGCCTATAAGGTTGTAGTTTGAGATATACCATGTCCCGTATTTCTAGGGTTCTCTCAGATCTCTTGTTGTCAGCATAATGCTTCATTCTAGTTTGAGCTTTCAGGAGGTTCTCTTTTATGTGAGCTGTTGTTTGTTCAGCAGTGAGCACATTAGGGAAATTTTCCATTTCCTCAACAGGATAAAGAGCAGGCTCAGCTAACATATGAGGTGGGCTGCCATATAGAGCCTGAAAGGGTGTTATATTTAATGTTGTGTGGTAGCTAGTATTGTACCACCATTCAGCTAAAGACAACCAGTTGAGCCACTTCTATGGTTGGATGAAAGCCATGCATCTCAAATAATTTTCAAGACATCGATTAACTCTTTCTGCCTGACCATTTGACTGGGGGTGATAAGAAGTGCTCATGTGTAACTTGATGCCCAGCTTCTTAAACAGGTCTTGCGAGAGCTTGCTAGTGAAGATCTTATCTCTGTCTGTTACAATCACAGCTGGTAGCCCATGAAGTCTGAAAATGTTATCAGTAAAAGCCTTGGCTACAGTATTGGCTATAATGGGGTGCTTCAATGGGATAAAGTGGCTATATTTGGTGAACCTATCCACAACAACCAAAATCATGTTTTTGTTGTGAGAAGTAGGAAGACCCCCTACAAAAT